GTCTCATGAAAAACTTTAACTTTTTAAAAACAGGCTGTGAAAGTGCAGTGTAGGTAATGAAATGTCCTTTCTGTAATAAACACATTTAAAATGTATCCAAAGGAGGCATACAGAAATTATATATCAGAGTGATAGGTCACCTTCCAAATGTCTTGCAGATACCATTTAATCAATACCCACAACAATATTTAAGTAGCGGGAGGGAGACTGAAATCTAAGAGGTCTTTATTTAGGATTAACAGAATCTTGGGTTCCATAACTAAGATAGGGAGGAGAAAATGTATTTTCTTATGAAAGACAATTATGGCAATTGAAGAATTTTTTAACAGCTTTTCTGAGATATAATTAACATATAGGGTTCACCCATTTCAAGTGTACAAGTCATTGCTTTTTAGCACATTCACAGATATATACAACCATCATCATAGTCAATTTTAGAATATTTTCATCCCCTCAACAAGAAATCCCTTATCTTGGACTATCGCCTCCCCCCCAACATTCCCAACCCAGCACTAAATGACCACTAATCTACTTTCTATTTCTATAGCTTTCCCTGTTCTGTACTTTCATGGGAACAGAATCAGATGCTATGTAGCCTTTTGTGACTGGCTTCTTCCACTTAGCATAATGTTTTCAAGGTTTATTCACATTGTAGTATGTATCAGTACCACATTCCTTTTTTATGGCTGCATAATAATCCCTGGTATGGATATACCACATTCTATTGACTCATTTGTCCATTGATGGACAGTTGGGCTTTTCCACTTTTGGACTATTAGCAGTAATGCTGCTATAAATATTCACATACAAGTTTCTGTGCGACCATATATTTTCATTTCTCTTGGGTATGTATCTACCTAGGAGTGCAAATGCCAGTCTATGATAACTCTGTGTTTAATTGATTGAGGACCTGCCAGACTCTTTTCCAAAGCAGCTGCACCATTTTGCATTCCCATTAGCAATGTAGGAGCGTTTTGATTTTTCCACATCCTCATCAATACTTATTATTATTGGACTTTTTGACTCTAGCCACCCTAGTGGGTGTAAAGTGGTATCTCATTGTGATTTTGACTTGCATTTCCCAGATGACTAATAGCACTGAACATTTTTCCATGTGCTTTTTGGCCATTTGAATGTTTTGGAGAAATGTTTATTCAGATTCTTTTTTTTTTCCTTAAGATTTTATTTATTTATTTGACAGAGAGAGAGAGAGGCAGAGGGAGAAGCAGGTTCCCCGCAGAGCAGGGAACCTGATGTGGGACTCGATCCCAGGACTTCAGGATCATGACCTGAGCTGAAGGCAGATGCTTAACCGACTAAGCCACCCAGGTGCCCCTATTCAGATTCTTTGCTCATTTTTTAATTGAGTCAAAATGAGTCAAATTTTTAATTTCTCTTTATTATTGAGTTGTTAAGAGTTCATTATAAATTCTGGATACAAGTTCATTATTAGATATATGATCTGGAAATACCTCTTCCCAATCTGGTGGTTGTATTTTCACTTTCTTGATCTTATCAATTCAGGTATTTTTGAAGGACTTGAAAAGCCATATTTATTTTAATCAGCATAATTTTAAAATTTTTGTTTTCATATACTGAAGGATATACTACTAGTAAGGAATGGGCTTGTAATTGCAGGTTTTCCATTCCCACAATAGAGGTAATAGACCACATTGTTGTGTGAGAAAGCAGGAGGAGCTCACAAACCAGAAGCCATGGGTTTTCTTTGTAGTTCTGTTACTCACAGTGTGATTGACATTTGGCAAGTTAGTCACCCTCCCTGGGTCTTAATGACCTACTCCACAAAATCTGGGTATGAACTAAAACAGTGGTTTTAAAATATTCTTCATCAGTAGTAAACATATTTTCAATGAAATGTTAAGTGTACTGCTAATATACAAGATAAATAAAAGGGTTTTTAGTTACATAAATTTGTTTGAAATTCAAATTTATGATATTTCTTTAAAATTCAATCAAAGAGCAGAGAGAGGGGATAGTAATACAAACATTTGAAACCCTAGATTATGGGTGACAATTGCAATCCGCTACCAATGTCAATATTCATTTGGTTCTATAGTCTGTATTTTTTTTTTTAAAGATTTTATTTATTTATTTGAGAGAGAGAGAATGAGAGATAGACAGCACGAGAGGGAAGAGGGTCAGAGGGAGAAGCAGACTCCCCGCTGAGCAGGGAGCCCGATGAGGGACTCGATCCCGGGACTCCAGGATCATGACCTGAGCCGAAGGCAGTTGCTTAACCAACTGAGCCACCCAGGCGCCCCTATAGTCTGTATTTACTTTCAACAATTCTAATGTTCAGTTGGTTCACAAAGGATTTATTGCAAACTGAATGAGTCCTTTAAAAGCTTGCCTTGCATTCTCATAACACTCTTCAATTAAACAAAAAGGGCAGAAAAATTTTTACTGGAGCATTGTTTCTATGGTAAGTGTTCTATGCTAAAATATATCTCTTTACAAGTAAATTTGAATCAAGCATTTACGAAATCTCTGAAGCTCATTGCATAGGATAAAGTACAGTAGTCCACTCTTATCCACATTCATGTGGATAAGACCCCCAGTGGATGCCGAAACTGGGGATAGTACTGAACCTTATATATACTATGTTTTTTCCTTAGATAGATACTTATGATAAGGTTTAATCTATAAATTGAGGACAGTGAGAAATTAACAATAATGAATAACAATAAACTAGAACAATTATAACAACACACTGTAATAAAAGTTATGTGACTGTTGTCACTCTCTCAAAATATCTTGTAGTGTATTCACCCTTCTTCTTGTGATGATGTGAGATGATAAAATGCCTGTGTGATGAGATGAAGTGAGGGGAATGACGTAGGCACTGTGACATAGCATTAGGTTACTATTGACCTTCTGACGATAGACCAGAAGGAGCATTATCTGTTTCTGGACCATGGTTGACCGCGAGTAACTGAAAACTCCAGAAAGAGAAACCACAGATGAGGGGGGATGACTGTATACAGACCTCTCAAGTACCAGAGCTCCCTTCCAAGTTCATAAATTTGAAGTTTTATATATAGCTCTTGTCTAGTCCCACTGGGATAACTCTGGGACTCCTGAGCTGGTAGGACGTCTGTGGCTACTGATTTAATAAAGCTAATTGGATCCCATTCATTTTTCTTGAGAAAAGGGCAGATGGAAGTGGAGGAAAGGGAGAAAATGGCACACTTCGTGGAAATAATCCCAAACAAAAATACCTCCTTCGGCAGATATTGAGGATCCTCCTAAACTCAGAAGCCCCAGAAATGTGATACTAGGGGGAAAGAGAGTCTTTAGAAATGACAGGAACTTTGAAAAGACACATCTTCAGGCACCCCACAAATCCCTGGCTCTGGAGCTAATCAGCAAACCTCCAGCATGGGGGTACATGCCTCAAGACTAATCGTGAGCAATCCTTTGCAAATGTTGTAGGGGATCTCAGCCCACAGGCCTTCTCGAATGTTTTACATAGTCATTTACTAGCCATTTTAAGTATATGAATAGGGTGACCGTAGAAGTTGTCACTGAAACTACGATACCATGAAAGTGAAAAGCAGCACTATCAATGATTATTCTGGGATGACAGTTGTAAACCAGACTGCTACCAGGCAAACTGGAATGAACAGTCACCCCGTGAGGAATCGCCCCCTTCCCCAACAGAAGGCCCTGCTAGAAAACAGACAATTTGCAGACCTGTAACGTTCACCTGGTAAAACCTAACTTTCCAACTTTTTAAAGTACATCTTTGAAGCTATGCTAAAATATAAAGTGGTGAGTCAGCCTAAGAAGTATCTTTTTTATTTTTTTTGTACGCAACTGTTTACAGCAAATTTATTCATTATTGCCCAAACCAGAAACAGACATTCATTAACTGGTGAATGAATAAACAAATCGCAGTACATTCATGCAATATACTACATAGCAATGTGAAAGAACAGACCGCTGATATGTGCAAACACATGGATGAATCTCCAGTGTGTTGTACAAAGTGAAAGAAACCAGACTTAATGGCTGATACTGTATGATTCCATTTATATAATATTCTGGAAAAAGTACAACTCTAGCCTAAGAATTATCTAAGATGTTAAGGAAAAAAAAAATTCACTTCTGAGTTCAGGATGCTGACAACACACAAAAGAGAATATAAAATAAATATTGGAATTATATAACTGGTTTGCTAAAGACGAATTTGATTTAATACAATATGTTTTAACTACATGAACATAAAATAATTAGGCTTTACATTTTGGAAAATGCATGTTGGTTATAGACAAATTTTTTTGAGTCCTTATCGTTTTTGGTTCCACTTACTGAATTTTTGACTTATGTAACTTGTCTGTTTATGTCATATCTGTTTATTTTATAATCCTTGATAGACAAAGATCATGTCTCTTACCCTTTCTTCCTCCTTTTAGTTCTATTTATAGTACCATTTAGTTTATTCTTCAAATAGTGCATTCTCAAAACTGTATTAACTAAGATTTTTAAAAATTTATCAAATCCACAAACAAAATGCCTGATCACAAAGCATTTTGTTACTCTAGTAATCATCAGATTCTCACCTTTGATATCATTCTTCTTCGATATCACTGATCATCTCAGGGCTAAGTTCCCTTCCAAAGATACTAGTCAAAAAAATTTTTTCCCCATATCCGCATAATCTTAACTAATCTACATTTATAGTACAATTCCTATAACTGTTTATTGTTAGTGAAATGGAAAAATCCAAAACAAAAAATATATCATCCCTTTTTATAATTCAAGATATTCATAGAAGAAAGTTGGTTATTGATGATATTTGATTTAAATTAACTTCTGAGAGTTACTTAGATATATGTCCAGTAACATGGAATAGTTTACTATTTATTTTAATGGTCGTCCATCTGAAAATAGGAGCTCATAGTAACATCAACTGGGAGGGCAAGGATGAACAAGTTTGACCTCCCTTTCTATTCTTCCACAATTCTATATATACTTACCTCCTCCGAAAGGTCCCCATATGACTCGGCGGATGGACTTAACCCAGTCTTCCATATCATTCTGGGTGCTCGCCATAAGGAGGTAGCTCTCATGGTTTGCTGTCATCCGATCTCGATCGCTTCCTGTAAGATAGTAACACATGAGTGTGTGCTCAGCTGAAGATTCCCCATCAGCAGCAGTGTCCCTGAAATGTACACTGTGCCTATCCAATCAATTGGAAATATTTACCATGGTTTCAGAATGAAAAAATCTGCTTAAAAAGGAAAGGCTCTTATGTTTCCAGGGGAAAACTGGAGAACAAATGTCATTCCCCAAACAAAGCCTGCCTTTTTGTCCTACCAACAACCCATAGGTCTGCATTAACTTATAATCCAGTCTATTCACACTGCACTGCTGAACAAGGAGAAATAGCAAAGCAAAGTGAAAGATGGAGAAGTAATCCACAGAGCCTGGATATTCATTGGAAGCAAGTGCTGAGCAGTCTGAGTACTGCTCAATACACACACAGCAAGGCCAACCAGGACATCCTGGGCGATCAGGGGAGTTCTAGGAAAGGGAAAAGAACTATATGGAAAACTTTTGACCCAGAGGTCCTCTTCTATTGCTCCATCATGGAAGGGAAGCCTCTTCTCCCAGAACACACCTTCAAGGGGGCAAACAAAGAGAAGAGGAGAAGAAGGCACAGCCTGGCCAGCCACAAATGTCAAATCAACCCCCTAGATGGCCCTTGCACCAAAGCGTAAGCTTTAGGAAACCCCAGGGGTGCCTCCATGCAAAAGCTTGATGGTTTCTCTCATTTTACCACCCCTCCAAAGAACAACCCATATACCTTTAAACTTTTATAATCTCTAATATCAATTTTGAAGTGCTAGACCTCAAATGCCTGTGATTTAATTTCTTAGAAATGTTTTATACCATATTTACATTTCCCTAGTGACTTAAATTTCTCATTTATAAAATAGGCATAACCATATCTGACCTTGAAAGGGGTCTTGAGTCATGGTTTTCCTTACTTCTTATTTTATGGTTAAAGGAGTATTTTTTTTAAGATTTTATTTATTTATTTATTTATTTATTTATTTGAGAGACACTAAGCACTGTACACTTGCAACCTCGGGTTGAATTAGTTCATATCCAAGTGTCATGTCTGACTGAGACATTTTTGCTTGTTTTTTTTTTTTTGAGTTTTCTTTGTGCTCTTTTGAAAATTTTTTTTATTATGTTATGTTAATCACCATACATTACATCATTAGTTTTTGATGTAGTGTTCCATGATTCATTGTTTGCGTATAACACCCAGTGC